CGCCAGGATCATAGCGTATGTCATCTTGCGACGCCATGCGTGAAACCAGCACTGTGTTGTATAGCCCCTTCATTGCAATCCTATTGCTTTCTCCTCTTTTCTTCGCTCTTCGTTTTTTCTTTCCTTTCCTTTTTTCTTCTTCTCTCCCCTTCTTTTCTCCCCGGGGGATCTAGTATAAACTGCTCCACCAGCATAAAATAAAAACCCCCGGCAGATCGAGGATTTTCCATTGTTTCGAGTAACGGACAGACTATTTGAGTCATTTGGACGACTCGTTCTTGCTGACACATTGTTTGAGCGTAAACGGAGCTTCTAGCAGATGACAAAAAGTTTGTTGTATGAAATGTATTAGTAATCTTATCGAATGACGTTGCTAGCTATCATCATGTTGCTGTGTTGTTAGCCCTTATTAGTAAGCTTAGCGGCGTCCTCATTGCATTGCGAACTGGCTGAACACTGAGGGTCACACCGCGAACCAACAAGAAACCAGCTTGAAGCCAAGGGTGGGTTCGTTTTATTGCGGTCACTGTTATATGTAAAGTACACGTTCACGATTGAATCGACAGTCTTTGTCCTTGGTTGTGGCAAAAAATGGCGTCGTTTCTAGCCTTTTAGAGGATGCGGCAAAAAGGCATACATGTGATCGGACATGTGATCGGAAGCTGTAGGTTTGCAATCGACAGCCGTTTGCAATTATGCTAGGTTGACGGCAATTTTCGCTTCTGCCTGGATACGACGAAGTAGCTTGTTTGAATTATAGGTGATGAAGTTTGTGTAGCGGGATGCTCAAAGTCTCTTGATCGACTCCCAAGCCAAGTTTCTTGACCAGTACATGCTGAAGCCAAAGCGAGCTTCCATGTCCCTAGTGACCAGACAATATTTCATTCAGTAACACGAGGCGCTGCAAAAAGCCATTGCAACGTACCTTTCTGTTGGATACTTCAATAAGTAATGAAGTGCAATCAAAAGATTCCTCAAATCAATTCGGCTGCCCTCTACTTTGGCTTCTTCAATATCTGTTGTTTGTATGTCGTGGTAAATCTCGGCAGCGATTACAGGAGATAAACCAAAAAATCCCTTGAAACGTTCAAAGCTCACCCGTGCCGCTCATTTCTGTAAACGTTTGCGTTTGTACCCCACCAGTTTCAATCCAAGATACTGGATCCTCTCTGGTGTGACCACATGATTGACTGGTGCCTCGTCCAATTCGTCTACACCGGCAGTGTCATCATTATATCTTGGCTGGGGGTCCTCCAACACTCTGCCATTCTTGAAGTTGGGATCTTGTGCCCAAAGATGACAAGAATGCTGGGAGGTGATTGCGATTTGAAAATGGGAATTGAGTCGTGAAAAAGCGAAGTGACTTTAAGTCTGGAAATAACAATTGGAAGTCACTTTAAGTCTGAAAATAACAATTGGAAGTCACTTTAAATATGGAGATAACAATTGGAAGTAACATCTAACAAATGGGAGTCATTTTAAGGATTCGGGAATAACAATTGGAAGTCACTTTAAGTCTGAAAATAACAATTGGAAGTCACTTTAAATATGGAGATAACAATTGGAAGTAACATCTAACAAATGGGAGTCATTTTAAGGATTCGGGACGTCACTTTAAGGCTTTGCGTACTTTTCGATTTAACGCGCTTTCGACCATGCGAAGACTTCTATTCTACTGGCAAGAAATATCACCCCTAAAAATTGTGCTCCCCCTTTCTGTGGAAAACTTGGTGCTGGCCGGCTCTGACTGGCAGGTGCGCGAGCAGTTCAGAGTTGCGGGTGTTCCAGGTATTGCGGAAAAGTTGCGCGGTAATGATATTTTATATATATCAACTTAACGCATCTTGCAAAAACAACTCGGTATCTTTGGATTCTTCAATCTCAGTCAAAATTTGACACTTGCAATTACAACACAAGTCACGCTCTAAACAAATCATCATGAAGACCGCTGTTCTCCTTTCCACCATCGCTGCCGCAAAAGCCTTCGCCCCTTCTGGAAACTTTGGCAGAACAAGTTCTGTTGAAGCCACGAAGGCCGATTTGGAAGCCATTGCTGAAAAGGCAAACCCTATTGTCAAGTTTTACGACCCCCTTAACCTCGCGGAGCAGGACTTCTATGGCTTTGGAAACGAATCCACTATCGGCTGGCTCCGACATTCTGAGATCAAGGCAAGTCTTGTCAATATAGATCACAATGCGGTCTCGATGAAATCTCACGCACTCCTTAAAGCATGGACGTATTGCCATGTTCGCTTTCGTGGGATACATTGCCCAATCAAACTTTGTTTTCCCCTGGCCACAAACTCTTGCTGGAGCTGCCCATCCTTCCGCAGACTTGCCTCCAGAAGCCCAGTTTGACCAAGTCCCACTCGGGGCTAAGTGGCAAATTTTTGCCGTAATTTCCATGCTTGAGTTGTGGGACGAATGCGGAGGAGGCGGTGCACTTCCTCACTACACCAAGGGAAGAAAGCCCGGAGAATTTCCTTCTTTCCAACTCTTTCGTGACAACGTCCACTTCGTTCTCGACCTTTACGATCCACTGGGTTTCAACAAGAACATGGCCGCCGAAACCAAGGAGCGACGTCTAATCTCCGAATTGAACAATGGTAGACTCGCCATGTTGGGAATCTTCGGATTTTTGTCTGCTGATAAAGTCGCAGGATCTGTTCCTCTCTTGAATGATATCGCCCAACCATACAGTGGAAACCCAATGATTCCTTTCGAAGGTCAATTCTCCTACTTCAACTAGATTACAAATGATACAACTGACGCTTCTTCTAATTTTTAGAAAGTTGATGCATATTATTGCTGTGATAATGCACCACACTTAGCCCTCTGTGTGTATGTCTGATGATTTGGGACCAGAAATGTACCGTATTAGTAACATATCGTACTGGTAGAGTAGGTTAGGTCGCTCGCTACAGTACTGTACTACTTCGTTTGACGTTGACTGTTAGTCTCATTTGATTGGTTTGGTTTCGATTGGTTTCCTTTGGTATATATTGAAACCAATCGAAACCAAACCAAACGAAACGAAATCGCGCAGTTTCGTTTCGTTTGGTTCTGTTCTGAAACAACACGAGACGTGTGGTTTTGTGTTGTTTGGTTTCGTTTTGAAGCCTCCGCTCTGTTTGTTGTTGTTTTGTTTGGCATGGGCGGTTTCTTGATTCGGAATAAATAACAAGTTACGACGCGTCACACGCATCAGATGCAAACTCCCCACAACTCCCTGTACCTCTGGTGCCAGGTCCTGGTACCTGGTACCCTGGTACCCTGGTACCGGTACTGGTACCATACCAATAAAGCACCTGTTCGGTAATCGTACAGTACTCGTACCTGTAAACGTACCGTACCAGTACCGGTACCCTACTGCACAGTACAGTAGAGTATGACTAAAGTTGGGGTCGAACCATTGGATTCACATTTCATGAACGACGGTCCGTCACCCGACGCCTGTCTCCGCAGCATTGCACGAGAAACACAAGTCTGATCATTTTCTCTTAACTTTGTGTGCAAGACAAGAGTGATATGTCGTACTATTCTAGTGGAAGAGGCGGAAGTGATGGCTATGGTGGAGGCCGGTATGTGGTATGGATGCTTAGATTCATTCTCAAACAACGAGATACTGTAGGCTTACTGAGTCGTTTGTTCCAATTATTGTATCCAGTGGAGGTGGCTATGGTGGAGGAGGCGGAGGCGGCTATGGTGGCAGTAGCGGAGGCTATGGAGGTGGTGGTGGTGGTGAGTGATATATAGATAGCTCGTTCCCTTGAACACGTGCCGTGTTTCCCGAGCAAAGTCTAACGCTCCCAATCCGTCATAGGCTATAGTGGCGGAGGAGGAGGTTTTGGGGGTGGTTCAAACCTTGGTGCTAGTCTATCAAATGTTGATTTCAGTAAACATGACTTGGTTGCTTTCGAGAAGAATTTCTACCTCGAACACCCTGGTAGGTTCGCTACGTTCAACAGAATTCATTTATCTTATATTTCTAACCTCTACCTTTCGATCTTTCGAAGATGTCGCAAAGAAGTCCTCTGCGGAAGCTGACGCATGGCGTGCTTCCAAACAGATTGTTGTCCACGGAGACGATATTCCGAAACCTGTAATGACATTTGAAGAAGCTAGTATGCCAGAATATATTTTGACTGAAGTATTGAAATGTGGCTTCGAGAAGCCCACTCCAATTCAGTCACAAGGATGGCCAATGGCACTGAAAGGTCGCAACATGGTTGGTGTATCGGCCACTGGGTCTGGAAAAACACTAGCTTTTCTGCTTCCAGCGATGATTCATATCAATGCACAGGTAAGTGGAGGGTTTTCTTTCTTTATTCTAATTGACACAGGAGTCCTTGGCGGATGATATCGAATCATTTAGAAGCGATGATTGGAAACAACCAACAAATAGATTTAGCTCAGTGTTTTCAAATGGAAGGGCTTTATCGTTGTAATGCCTTCCATGAATTCACCAACCACTGCCGCGAGGACTGGATATCTTTTGAGCTTAACAACGCACACTTCGCTATTCTCTTTTTGTTAAATGCGAACGAGATGAAAAATGGTGATATCCATGGTACCGTTGCTTGCACTTGCAATCATTTGTGTAAGTAGCGGTATCGTGAATCAAGTGATGCAAGGAGCCCTGTGTCTTGTCTTCTTGGCTGGTTTGGTGAGGGGACACTTGCTGTCTAAGTGCGATGTTTGTCTTTCACGTTTCCGAGGATTTCTGTGTGGCGTGGCGTTGCGCATAGTAGTTAGGCCTGTCTAATATTCTTTTCCCCGTTTCACAGCCTTATCTCAAACCTGGAGAAGGGCCAATTGTACTGGTTTTGGCACCTACCCGAGAATTGGCTGTGCAAATCAAAGAAGAATGCGACAAATTTGGAGCTTCGTCGGAAATCAAAAACACTGTTGTTTATGGCGGGGTCCCAAAGCATAAGCAAGTTCGTACTCTGCGTGAAGGTATTGAGATTGTGATTGCGACTCCTGTCAGTACAGTGTGCCCATTTCTTTTTTCTTGTTGTGGTGTCTTTCTTACATTCCTTTTTTAAATTTGAACACTGTAAAGGGTCGATTGATTGATCACCTGGAGCAGGGAAACACAAATTTGAGACGTGTCACCTATTTGGTTCTTGATGAAGTAAGCAACTCGTCATATTTCTGGTTTTTCATATTTGCCCAACTATCGCTAATCATTGGTGTGTTGAAAGGCCGACCGCATGCTTGACATGGGTTTCGAACCTCAGTTGAGGAAAATTGTGTCGCAGATTCGCCCAGATCGTCAAGTTCTCATGTGGAGTGCCACTTGGCCCAAGGAAGTCCAGAATCTTGCCCGTGATTATTTGAACGATTACTATCAGGTGACTGTTGGATCTCTAGACCTATCGGGAAATAAAGACGTGACTCAAACAATTGAGGTTTGTACTGACCAAGACAAATATCGTTCCCTCTTGCGTCACTTGAGAGAGAATTTGACCCCAAAAGATCGTGTCCTTGTATTTGTTGAAACAAAAAAGGGTTGCGATATGTTGACAAGATCCTTGAGAATGGACGGCTTTCAGGCCCGCGCAATGCATGGTGACAAGAGTCAAGAAGAACGTGATTGGGCATTGCGTGAATTCAAGTCCTGTCAGAGTTCACTACTTGTTGCTACTGATGTGGCAGCAAGAGGTCTCGATGTAGACGATATCCGGTAAGTCATTCATGCCTTCATCAAATTGTGCATGTTTTGCAATTTTCACATGATTGGTTTCTGAATCAAACCACAGAATGGTAGTCAATTTTGATTTCCCAAACGATATGGAATCTTACATCCATCGTATCGGTCGTGTAAGTGGATTGTTCCTGAAATTGTTGGTTTTCGTTACTCTATATATACTAATTTATTTGTTGCTACTTTAGACTGGACGAGCTGGCAGAAAAGGTGATGCAGTTTCGTTTTTCGTTTCTGAGAAAAATGGGCGTTTGGCAAAATCGCTTTTAGAAATTTTGAATCGCACAACCCAGAACATTCCCTCTGAGCTCCAAGCTCTAGCAGCTTTTGCGGCGCCGAAGAAAGGCAGGGGTGGTCGAGGTGGATATGGCGGCCGAGGTGGACGTTACTAAAATTTCTAGTCTCACTTGCTGGTAGTTCTCGCGTTGATTGAATTTGTTGCCTGATATATAACCGCCACTTTCGAAATCATTAAATAAACAATGTAGTCGAAGTAGTCGATAAGTATTCGGTTGGCCCCGCCTGCGGGGCGCCCCCTATCCTCCGCCGTAGGCGCAGAACTGACTCCGCCGTAGGCGCTGTCAACTAGTATAAAATCTACATAGATGGATCCTCTGTTCCCCCAACTACCGGAAACTCCAGAGATGTTTTATTTTGGCACGGATCTACCCGTTCAATATTTTGTCATCTAGATATATTGACTATGTAACTGTTGGCATTCGCAGCGACACGTTCACCATGCAGCATATAGCAAACAGCCAAAATGAACGTGAAAAAGATAAGAAAGAACAGGGCACAATTCTCAATTTCCTTTCACCAAGGAAACCACCTGAAAAGGACCATGTCATGATGGGTGTTAGAATAAAGCAAAATGTGCTCTATCGTGAGTGCCTTTAGCGCTCAGAACAAACTCTCTGCAATCTAAATTCGAAATCGATTGTACAACACTTTCACGACAATAGTTCTCCTGTGGCTAGGTATACTTTGAGTGAAATTGTTCCTATTTGATTAATGTTTGGCTTGAATTGATGATTCAATCACAAAAGTGAGTTCGACAATTTTCCCTTGGAAAATCTCTTGTTTACAGAACTCCATTCGACTTCTACGACAATTATGTGTTGAATGCAGTACTTTGGGATATCTTGCATTATTCCCTACTGCATCGTACACAACATCAATATTCCACTTGTACAGGATGTTTTCCTGTTTGTGTGGATACAGATTGTCCGACAGACTTGCGTCCGGCATACTTGCGTCGAATCCCGACATCGCTCACGATCAAAGTCCGATCGCACGTGTCAAAAACCTTGTACTTGAATAGTTTCTTTTGGAACGTAAAAACTCATATTTCGTCATATCCCAACACACTCCTGCCATTGTGACAATCACCATTGGCAGCAATGGGACATGCTCTCATTAACTGTTTATTTTTGTTTTGTATTTTCATTTTGAACATATGCATACTTGTCTGAGTTGGATTTCGGTTCTGGCGGACATCAGACAAGCGACAGGCTTGTCGTTGTCCAAACCGATTGACAACTTTGTGGCCCATAAAGCCAACATTGCCAACCAGCCGTGCCAACATGCGACCCATCAAGTCGTCATGCAGAGGCACCGACCATAGCGATCTCCGATCCGTCTAATACGAAATAATCATCTCTACAGGAAATAACTATTCTAAAAGACTTGTTATCTACATGGAATGGGCAAAGCAAAAGCCTTGCACGAAAACTCAAATTTCCCAAAAATTTACTGGATGTTTGCAATCCAGAAAGGCCGGTACAAAACCCACGTACAGAACTCCCGCAGGATTCAGTATGGGATTTTCGTGGCGCTCAGACGTTTGAT